AATTAAATCACACCAAATAAGTTGGAAAACCACAATCCAACGGTATAAAACCATACTCCTAATTAAACCACCAAATTAGAAAGTACAACCCAATCCATCAAGTATCAATAATCACATTGCAATCTTATTTTAGAAAACGTAGTACATAGGACCATACAATAATTTTTATTATTTAAATATATATATAAAAATTCCAACATTTTTGACTTGACATTGTGTCGTCTGTTGGTCGCATCAGTTTGTTGATTCAATCAAATATCCAACAAAAAATTAACATTTACACCAATTAGTGGGATTGCTTGATGGATGATATGGGTTTTGGGTATTGATAGCATTGTAGTATCGGGAACGAAATTGAATTCAAGATCATCTGGGACGTCAGTAATTCCCCATAAATTTGGAACAATGCATCCGAACCTGAGCCATATTTTTTCAGGAAACTAATTGTTCTCACAGATGGCGCCAGCTGTTGAAGCAGAAATCAGCAAGACCCGAGACGACACTGTTTTCTTATAAAGAAGAGAAAAAAAAAAATTGATAAATCTTGACGGCACCGGTTTTGTGTCTGCCAAGAGCTCTCCGACAATCAAGTCAGTCACTGGATGTCTAAACTAAAGGCAGGGATTTAATATGTCGTCTTTATCGTACTTGTTTAGTAGTCAGGCTTCGTATCTATATATGACAATTCTCCTGGTCTATTGCAATTTGTTGGGGATTCGAAGATATTCTCCCGTACTTTGAATTTGAATCACCTTATTAATTCGGTGTAATTTAATTTCAAACTTTTGGATATATTATCTTTTCTTTCTTTACCTAATATCTAACTCAAATTGACTCATCACATGTAATAGGAACTCATTAAGTCACGGTCTTTCTGTGCATGCTTCAAATAGTCAAACCCAATTGCAATCCATTATCTTTCTAACAAAAACACTATTTGGGCAACTACTTTTGTTTTGTGCCATCTGAAATAAAAATAGTGTTTTTGTTTTAGAGTGTGTTTAATATTATTTCAAAGTTTGTTTGGTAACGTAAATTTGTTGTCAAATTTTTGGAAGCAAAAATATAAAATCATGTTTGGTAAAAAGTATTGCAAGTTTGAAAAATTAAATAACTAATTAAAAATATTTAGAAGTTTTTTTTTTTTTTTTGAACAGTGCCTTCGCTACATTGTGGAAGCAACAAAAAATCATCATTTTTATATTTTCGATTTTGGCCTTTTTTCGGCAAATGCTTCGGTAATATTCAAATGACAGCAAATCCAAATATGCTTCATAATTTTGTTTCTCTACAGTACATTATACTAGTAAAAGCAAAAAAAACTGAAGTAAAAATAGTTGCTAAACATGCTCTTAGGATGCCCACTAAGTATTAGAATAAAATGGCCGGCTGTTACAATATTACTTCGCCATGTTAAAATTTCTAGACTGTCTAAGTGTCAAAGACTTTGTGCCCAGTGATATCTCTTGTACCTTCCAAAGTGGATGGTGAGGATTCAAGTCTTCAAATAAGCAAATTCGGTGTGTGGGTAGTGCGTGTGAGTACGGATAAGTCCAAGTGCAGGAATAATCATCACTTTTAACAATGTCCACGTGTCAACTTGTTATTGGTCCATTTGCTCCTTTCTTATTCGTGCACGTATGCAATGAGATGGCTGTCACATGACTATCATTTTTGTGTGTCAACTATATTCATCTCTATTAAAATGTAAGCATAATTACACCAACCTTTTCCTTTGATTAAAAATTAGACTGCCTCTATTGTTGATTAGTTTCTCTTAACAAACGAAAAGCACTCTATTTATATCTTTTGACCGATCAATGTATTTGCTAAGATGGGACAAAAATGGAGTAAAATATGCATCCAACAAAGCCAATTCTCGATCTCACTCCTTACAAATTGTGTAACTTGGTCCTTAATGTCAGGTTCTCTAAATGACACTAATAAGAGAGTGGAGTTCTAAAGTCTTCCATGTTGACGCGGAGATTGTGAAGTAGTTGTAAATATGTGTAGAGTGTAGAGAAAGATTATAGATCAAGTGCAATGAGTTTTGTTGTGTGGTAGATATTTGTGTGGGCAGTTTTAGAAGGTAGATAGAAAGTAGATGGAATGTCTATATAAAAAGAGATGTGTCATTTGTGATCTAACAAGCTCCGGAGCCAATCAGATGTCTAAGTGTGTGTGAGTGCACAAGTTGCTAGACAGACTTTAAGAAGTGGGAGTGCATTAGTACAAGTAAACAACTTTTGAAAGGTTGAATCGGAAGACATACTAAGAAATATGTATACTTGTAAGTTATCATGTAAGTTAAAATAGTGGAATTGATTAGGCATAGAAGTAATAAATTTAAAATTTGTTAGATGTTTGAGAGTATGAGTTGGCTGAATCAATAGAAGTAATCACTATCTTATTAATGTACTCAACTAATGTACCGCAATCCATATAAAAATTGAGGAGAAAATAAAATTAATGAGATAAAAATATGTGGTTTGAACTAGTAAAAATAAAGTGTAAGTAAAATAAATTAAATTAAATTAAAATCAAACTTACAAAGTAAAAATAAATTGTAAGTAAAGTAAACAAAATTTAAGACATGATTTGTGCGTGGAAGCCCTAGTTGGAAGAAAACCAATCAACCAGGATGAAAAACACAGAGATTTTTGTAATCTGGAGCGAAACGATCCACTATCTTCGAAGCAAAGTACAACGGAGTCTAATTCAGGCTCACACCCACTTCGTTCTACCAAGAACTAGTTGCTGAACATCCCAGGCTTTTGCTCGTGACTCCCCGTCCGATTGCTACAGACTCCAAACTTACTCCTCAATCTTTGTAGAATGGTTATTGGTAGATCACAAACACTTCGCGAATGCTCTGACCCATTTGAAGTTCGATCGATTCCTCTTTCCTTCAAATTCTGAATTGGTGAAGGTAAATAGAAACCTTGCTTTTCTGAACAGAATCTTCTGAATCTTCAATATGCTTGCCCATTTCGGTAAACTCTCCATCATCTTTCTTTGGCTGAGTGGTATGTATTTTCACGGTGCTCGTTTTTCCAATTATGAAGCATGGCTAAGCGATCCTACTCACATTGGCCCTAATGCCCAGGTGGTTTGGCCATTATGATTTGATTGAGAATATGACCCTAAAATCACTCAAGTGTAATTTTTTGTACTCTCAAGTACATAGAAATATACAAAATACTTTTAACAAGCTTTCAATAGCTAAACTATTTTTATCTTTGAAGCTATAAGGCCCTGTTTGGTAACACTTTGAGTTTGATTTTCTGTTGTGGGTTTTTTTTTTTTTTTTTTTTTTTTTTTTTTCATATGGCATCAAAATCCGTTTGGTAACTCTATTTTGCCTTTTCACATTTCAAAACTTTTGAAAACTAGTTGTCATCTCCCTTGCAATTCCCACTTCAAAATGAAGCTTTTGTTTTTCTTTTTGATTTTTAGATATTGTTATTTTATGATTTTTCAAAATGAGAATTAGAGAAATGTTGTTTTATTATTTTTCACAATTAGAGAAATTTATTTTATTATTTTTCAATTATACTCAAATAGTAAATAAAATTTTAAAAATTATTTTATTATACTCGACTAATAAATAATATGTTATTTTATTATTTTTAATTATACTTGAATAGTAAATAAAATATTAAAATTATTATTTTTCAATTATACTCAAATAGTAAATAAAAGATTCATTTTTTTAAAAAAAATTACCAAACATATTTTATCTTTTCTCTTTTCAAAAATTCAACACCAGTTACCAAAACTTACCATTTTCATTGAAATGAAAGCAAGAAAAATAAATTAATAAAAAAAATAATAAAAACCATAGCTTTACCAAACAAGCCCTAACTAATCATGAGAGAGAGAGAGAGAGAGTTTATATAGATTTTTGAAAACCTAATCATATTTGGAAAACAAGTTAAATTTGTGCATAATTATTGACTCAAAGCAATGTTTCTGCTTTATAGTGTGTTCAACACTATTTTGAAACTTATTTGGTAACGTAAATTTGCTGAAAGATTTTTGAAAGCAAAAGATATGAAAATATGTTTGATAAAAAGTGTTGTAAGTTTGAAATTTTGAATGGCTAGTTAAAAAAGTCATTTTAGATTTTATTTATTTATTTATTTATTTATTTTTGAACAGTACTTTGCTACAGCGCGAAGCAAAAAAAAATATTTTTTTTTTATGTTTCTGATTTTGGTCTCAATTTCAGAAGCGCTTCAATACTATTCAAATGATAGCAAACTTTACCAAACATGCTTTGCGTTTTTGTTCCGCTACAACAGTACACTAGCAAAACAGAAAGCACCAAGCAAAATGCCAAAAAGCCCCTTAAGTAATATTTTGTCAAATGTATTATTTTGAAGGGTCCAAGCTACACAAACACACTACCTGTACTCTTCTTATAGAATAAGTCGAGGATGAGTTACTCTAACATTGAGCATGTGTCCACTACCGTTACATTCATAGAACAAACTTTACAGCCTCTGATAAACGACTACAAGCGCAGGCTTAGCTAAGAGTGGCTACATGATAGCTTTTTCCTTCTTGTGGAGTAGCTTGGGCCCCAAGTAGAACTTGGGACCCACACAATGTGTTGATTTGTACCGGACAAGATTTTGATCCCCCAATTACATAATGTAACAACAAAACCGTTTAAAAGACGCCCAATGTATCAATGTGATTATTGATGCCCATGTGCAGTTACATGTACCTTTCCCTTGAGCTTTTGAACCATTCCATTGTGGCACATTCTACTCATTCCTAATCATCAATCAATACATACACCATACAATACAATAATTACACTACATATACTGTACTTCATGTGGGTTTTTTTAAAAGAAATTATTACATAACCGAACTACATTTTAAAATAAGTGTTCACTTAATAAAATGTAACTTAGAAGAAAATATGTGAGTCACAATTTTAAAAGCAAACACTTATTTTGAGAGAGTCATAATTTTCAAAATAAACACTTAATTTGAAAGAGTTAAATAGTTTTTCAAAACGAACATTTATTTTGAGCGGAGGGAATAATTATTTTTTATTATTTTTTTAAATTTTTTATTTTAACAAACAAAGGACATATGACAGTCCTTCTTGGAAGGCTGTAGAAATAGTCCTTGACCTTCTCATATCACCATATCATATATTTGTATGTATGTATATAGATATATATAGAGAGAGAGAGAGGGAGAGAGACTGTAGAGAGAGAGGGTATCGGATTCCTCTGACACAAATTGTAAAGTCGGTTAGGCTTGTCTTCCAGACGTGCTTCAATGTTTCACAAAAGGGGAATTAATTTGAAAGGCCATTTAGAAAGGTCACAACTAGTCTCTCTGACAGAGGTTTGTTCGAAGGGTAGGAGACAATGAGAGATTTGGAAAGAGCAGTGGAGTGGCTTAGACCACTTGTGGAGACCAAAGGATGGGACTACTGTGTTGTTTGGAAATTAGGAGATGACCCTTCAAGGTATTTTTATTAATTTAATTTCACATTTTCATTCTTTTAAATCTCTTTGTATTTCAATCTTTCAAACATAATATATACCCTTTTTTTTTTTAAATTTTTGTTGATGATTGTTTATTAGATTCATTGAGTGGATGGGTGGTTGTTGTGCTGGTTGTTATGGTCACAATTTCAATTTGAAAAAGGAAAGTGGAGAAGAGCAACATTCACTAAACTTGTGCAAAGATTTTCATATCCAGCATCCTATAAGAACAAAGGCTTGTGAAGCACTTGCCCTACTTCCTTCTTCCATGCCCTTGTACTCCGGGTACCCTAAATCTCTCTCTCTCTCTAAATATATATATATATACACTTACATAAATATTTGTTTGGTTCTGTTTTTATTTACAAGACCACAAATTACAGGATTCATGGAGAGGTAGTACTATCAACTCAACCAATCTGGTTTGGCCATGGCAAGCATGTGGGTGTTTCAATTTCTCTCTTTTTTTTTCTTGTAATTTTTATGTACTGCATTGTTTAAACATTTGGGCTTTCTTAAATAGGCTTGAGGTTGATGACACTTGTTCTGATTGAAAGAAACAAAGGCATGCCATTTATGGAAACTAATCAAATAGGACTCCACCATCATGTTACAAATTGATTTTCAGAACCATTTTTAGTCTATACCACAAACTGTTTCATTGTTCACTATATATCTATTTAAATCAGACCATTACCATGTGAAGATTATGCCATCTTAATTAAGGTTTTGTTTCATCCAATTAGACAAATTATATGCTGATTTTGTAGATTTTTTTAACAAATAGAACTTGAAAAGTTATGTTTTTCTATTGTTGGCAGGATACAACTGGAACCCAAGTTTTCATCCCTGTTGTTGATGGTCTAATTGAGCTCTTTAGCGCGAAACATGTAAGACTGAATGCTTGGATTGTTCTTTATATATATATATATACACACACACACACACTTGTGGAGGAATGAAACTTGTTTTCTTTTTCTTTCTAGATAGCCAAAGATCAGAAGATAATAGAGTTTGTTAAGGATCAGTATAAGCATTGTTCGGGACAAGAAGTCATGACAGCACAAAGCAATAACAGTGTGACCATCAATGAACAACCACCACTTGATCCATTGCTTAATAAAAACTTGAACAATTCACCAGTTGCTCTTGACAATTTGAAGTTCATTCCTAGGCTACAACTTCTTCCCCCAATAGCACATCCCATCACTTATCCCCACTTAGACGGATCTGGTTCAATTCCTACACATGACCACCTGTTGTTTAGTTCAGGTTCCATTCATATCCCACAAAGGGTTTCATTGTTTGAATCAATCGGAAAATATCCCGGATCCAAAAATCCTAATTGCAGGGAAAATTTGTCAAAAAAGCGCGAAATTCATTTCATTTTGGGGCATGCCAATCATGTGGTTGAGGAACACAATTTGAAGCCCAAGCAGAGGACAGAAAGGGACCAATATCAGTCAAAGAATCTTGATGCAGAAAGAAATAGGAGGAACCGGATTAAAGATGGTCTCTTTACTCTACGCGCTCTAGTCCCCAAGATATCAAAGGTCTACATAATTGCATACATGTCATGTATTATGAAAAAAAAAAAATGTGTGTCTATACTTACACGTTTCGTTTTCAATTTTCATATAATAATTTCTCAGATGGATAGAGCTTCCATACTGGGAGATGCAGCTGAATATATAGAGGAATTGCAGCATATGGTGAAGGCACTTCATGATGAGCTCAAGGAAATGGAAGACGAGGAATGTAATAAGAACAATGTTGAAGAGAAGATGCCAAAAGCGAATGAGGTACATGATGGCAACAAAAATTCACCGTGTAATGAGCACAACCAAGAGTCCTCTACTGCAGATGAAAAGAAACAAACAGAGGTATGAAAAGCCAAGAACAAATTGAAATTGAAATTTAGATGTTAGTCTTCATTCAAATCCCAAGATATGTAAATCACCAGAGCTTATGATGAAAAAATTTTGTGGGTATTATTTGATTAGGAACTACTACTAATTTGTATCAGTAAATGCTCTGATTGATTTTTCTATTAATTCTTCCCTTAGGTGCAACTGGAGGTAAACCAGATTGGAACAAAAGATTTCTTGCTCAAGTTCACCTGCAAGCAAAAGCGAGGAATCTTTGCAAGGTTGATGGAGGCTATGAATTCTTTAGGTTTCCAAGTACTTGATGCCAATGTTACCACAATTAACGGCAAGGTCTTGAACATTCTAAGGGTAGAGGTAAGCTCGCATAAATATTGCATAAAGTAGCTAAATTTCTGTTGGGACATTCATGTGAATTGTGAGTCTTTTCCATGTTATTTCACATAGGACTTGAATTGAACATTAAGTCTTACTAATATGAACTAAATATATGATATCAGAGAACATTCAGGGTACCATAATACATCCATCACCATAATAACAAAATAAATATTTGAACTTAGTGAAATATTCCCTCAGAATTATTTGCAAAACATGGTGGACTCATTCCAAATCCAATTTAAAATACAACTGATTTAGTTTCCTTGAAGTCCCTTGTAAAAAATTTAAATAAAAATAGACTAAATTATCTTCTTTTTTTTCCTGAATAAATATGACTAAGTTATCTTTCTAATACATAATGAAATACTCTTGATTTGAAAGGCAAACAAGACAGAGGTTCAACCAAAGAGCTTGAAAGATTCATTGATCCGGCTAACAAGTCAGACATGCCAAACAGTTGATGGGAGTCTATGAAGAAAAGAAGCTTAGAGGACATTATAATCTGCCAATGGAAAAAGAAAACAAAAAACGAAAAGCAAAGAGAAAAAAAAAAAAAAAAGGGAGGGTAATATAGAGGATTTGTTTTTTGTTGAGAAAATGGAAGGCTTACTTTGGAAAGTCAAGAGATTTCGGATACTTGTATTTTCACTTCATGTTGTATATATAGGTTAGGTAATTTTCCCCTCATGCATTGATTTTTAATCCTTCTCAAGTAGCCACTAGATTTATATATATATATATATATATATGTTACCACAAACAACTGCAATTTTACTGTGACCTTTTAGTCTCTAAATTCATATAGTTGAACTATGGATTTATAATGGATGTGAAGTTTGAGGTTTAGATTAAAAACTTCTTTATTCTTACTTTGGAAGTAATGACTAAGGACTAGCCTACTGCAATGCTGTGACATTGCAGCACTGCTGTGACATTGTGATACAACAAGAGAGAGAGTTTCCCCAACATATTCACAACACTGATCCAATTTGAATTTTCTAACAATTAAAGAACAATTAGGCTTAGAAGTATATATTTATGCCTCAAATAGTGGTTTGATTGGTTTTAAATTAAGGGTTAATGCTGAATTCTGCAAAGAGAGAATTCAACCATCTGTCTAGTTCTTTTTTCTTTCTTTTTTTCTTTTTTTCTTTTTTCTTTTTAAATATATCTATATATATCTATATATATATATATATATATCGACAATTCATTTGTTTGAGTTTTACTAAGAATCATTATAAGAAAACAAAGTTAAAAAATTCAATTTTAGATAAAACCTTTACCAAAGTTCAGTTTTAATTTTAAATTTGAACTTCAGATTGGGTAACATATGAAACTTCTTTGAAATATCAATTGAATCGGATTTAGATAAACATAGGTATGAATGTATCTACTTATTGTAAAGCACATTGTACAATATTAGAACTTGTTTGTAGAATACATATATTATATAGGTTGAATATGGATTATATTCATATCATTCTTCTCGGATTTGGATCTGAATATGGTCATTACAAGTGATTATTGTAGGAATTTTGCTCTCAATATCGTTGAAAATTGTCATGATAAATAGAAAACATCACATTTCACAGTAACATAGACAATCATTTATCTTAAGAGATTAAACATATAAGAAACATTAAAAAAAATATGATCTTGATAGAAAAGCCAGAAAATAGAATATATAAAAACATATATGAGGGAGTGTCTCATTCAATACCATCATGCACTGGCTCTGATTTCATTGTCATGAGCAAACCTTGTTTCTCCTCTAATTTCATTATTTTCGGATGGATTATATCCTTCAGAGTGACCATGACCATGACCGTGACCATTTCCAGGCTGTTTGGCAGCTGGAATTCCATTCCTGAACCCGAATTCTATGTCCCCTTCTCCTAGGCGAGGGGTGTGGTGCCTTGAATCACCTTCTTTTGTGTGAAGAGTATGGTTTTGCTTAGTCTTTCCATGGTGCTGGCGCTGGTTACAGAGCCGTCCAATAATGCAAGCGATGACAGATATACCTACTACCGCAGCCAGGACCATGAAAACTGTCCCAAATGATCCATTTGAGTGCGATGAAGTCTGCCTTGGGGCGATTTTTGGGTAAACCTGAACTGGCTGAGACATAATTAGGTTAGGCTTTTGTTTTGCAGGAAAATGGGAGGATGGACTTGATGGTTACTTGGTTAAGTATAAGTCCTCTGCAGATCATGTTCTTTGAGTGCAAACAAAGGCAAATTTAGGTGGAGTCACAAAAGAACCAAGAACATATCTTTAAGGATTGGCATAACCACAAACTCGCGCTTAATCTGAGGTTTTTTAATTCAAAAAAAGGTACTTAAAGATATTCCTTCTGAAAAAAAGGGTATTCTTATAGCTTTGTATGGAGAGAGAGTAAGATTTTGGCTCCTTTGCCCCATAAGAGAGGAAAGCCTTGGATCAACTCTTATGGAATGAGGTACTTGGTTCAATTCCTTTATAGTGAATTTATGGCCAGTCTTCATGAGATTTTGCTGAATTTATTCGTCGCACGACTTGGGACGCAATGTGTGCCCTGGGGACAAAAAGAAAAATGGAGATCAGGGAGCATTCAATAGGCTTTCTCAATTCTTTTGTATAGTAGGGCTTCTTTGAAGTGTAATAACATTTCTTTACCTTTTTAGCAGAACAAAGCACTCAAATTTTTGGAGGCATAACTTCTTTTCAGGCAGAAGGTCAAACTGTCTAGTCTTTTCTGACTTGCATATGCAACATCATTGAAAGCTTCTTGTAAGCTTCCAAATCTCAAAACCAGAGTGACTCCATTATCCATTATAATGTAGATTTAAGTGTCAAATTTTAGTAGATTTTGGAACATGTCTCACATTCTTGAGCATCAATTTGTAGCAATTATTGGTCTTTGAGCACATTTCTCATATTGACTTACATTGAGACCAGAGAAAGTCTCTTTATATAGTGACATTTATAGATGCACCACTATCACTCCCCCAATTTTTCCTCTGGCATTGACAGATTAATCCCTTTTTTTTTTTCTATATTTATTCTTTTTGTCACCTTTTTTTTTTTTTTTTCTTCTGTTGCTCTCTTTTCCACTTTCTGCACTCCTTTCTCATATATATATATATATATATGGACTTCTCTCCGAATGATAGCATTTTATATCTTTCCAGTCATGGATATAATTCTTGATTTAACAATTATTTTCACTCATGTTATGTTTGGAAGCATCCAATTAACGACTTAAATTTGGGATTGAAAGAAATACTACTAAACCGCAACATCAAGTTAATCATTCTAAGTTCTGTTCTCCTTCATGACTACGTATAGCAATTTTACCAATAAAAAATCTGATACCACTTTTAGGAGAGTTTCAGTTTCTCTCACCTTGATATATATATATATATATATATATATATATATTGGCAAGTACCAAAAAACAAGAATGACATACCCCAGGATATTTTAAGTAAATAAAGTCACTATATTCCCAAATTCACCAATCTAGAATATGGGAAGTGAGCAAGAACAAAGTAATATCAGCTAGAAAGCTGGAACTGTCTGTACAAGAATCCACATTGTCCCCATGAAAGGGAGACATAGCATAGAAGACCTTCGAAGCAGAGCAGTCCATATGGTAACTCCCTGGAAACATAGCAGCAAACTTGTACCCAAAATATGGAACCAAGGCCAAACCAGGATTTTAATGCTGGAATATATATATATATATATATATATATATATATATATATATATATATATATATATATATATTCTTTTTTTTTTTTTTTCCGAATATATAAAGTAGATCCCATTTAAGCTGAAGCCATTTGTTTTCTCGAGAAAGGTCAAAACCAGACATAGACCATACTCTTATTCTAACTAGGGACTTGATTTCGTTCTTACATCTCACCCTACAATGGCGGGAGGTTCGACCACTTGGTTTGCCCTTGGTTTGTCCATTTTAACTAACCCTCAAGAATTAAGATCTATTAGGCTATATTTGGCAAAGTCAAAAAGAAAAGAAACAATAACATTAGTTACAAGAGAGAATAAAAGAAAGTGAAAGGGAGAATATTGTTAACCATTTATTGTGTTTGGTTGAATAAAAAAAATAAAATAAAAAGGAAAGAAGGAAATGACAGTAAACATGTTTGGAAAAGAAGGGAAATGAAACTGTTTTAATGAATTTTTTTACCATACCCCTCTCTATAGATTTTGTCATTTATGAAAACAAGGGCAAGTTTGGCATTAATAAAGTTTCTAGCCTTTCCTCCCATTGCCTCCCAATTTTGGGATGATAACAAAACCAACTCTTCAAACTTTAATATATCTCTCCAAATCTTTCCATTATGTTTTTTTTTCCTTCCGAAATATTATACCCCAGACACAAAAAACCTATAACCCTCCATTTCATTTCTTCTATTTTCCTTCCATTTCTTTCCAACCAAACTAAGCCTTAAAGAATCTGGCCATTGAAAGCAAAGCTGATATCCCACGAACTCCCATATTGTGTTGGAAGCAGGACATTGGAAGAACATATGGTCTTGATTCTTAATCCTTTGTCTGCAGAATGCACAGCTAATGTTCCTCGAGATTCCAAACCCAAACACTGTCTTGGAGTGTTTAGTTTATTGTTGACAGCCATCCACAAAATGACAGTGTGTGTAGGGATAAATCCTTTAAATTATACCATACCCTTCCACTCAACTTAAGGTTTCTTTGGGCTGATACAATTTCACGTAGAGGCAATCGAAAATGAATTACCAGTTGGAGCATTCATAGTTAATTTTACAATATCATATGTTGAATGGCGGATTGTCTCACATTCGAGCTTTGATTGGTCATTCATACCAAAAATAAAGAAGTGGGACCCTTTACTTCCTAAGGTTTCTTCGGTCTAATACAATTCCACATAGACAATGGAAAAGGAATTACCAGTTGGAGCATTCATTATTAATTTTACAATATCATTATGCCACTGGCTGCCTTTGAAAATGCAAGACTGAATTCATTGAATCGTTAATTATTTAAAACGAATTGTTTGATTTACGAGTTTTGATCAGTCATACATACAAGATATAAAGAAGTGAGACCCTCTACTTTCTTATATTACTATTTTAAAATAAATAAGTAAATAACCAATTCACTATAAAAATTCGGGCCCAACTGTCACACTATGGAATAAGAGCGTGCCCTTGAGGGAGATTATAGATGGTGCAAATTTTGAAGGTCCTTTATTGGAAGATGAAAAGACCTTCCAATCAAATACCAAGAAGTGGGGCTAGTTCCGCATTAAATTGCCGTTTTCACATCCGGGATACGAAATGGAGTAGTTATTGTATAAGATAATGTTATATTAATTAGTTTGTGCAGTTAAGAAGAAAACATTAAATAATGTTATTATATAATTGAGCATATGTATATTATATAACAAGTATATATATATTTTTCCTGATTTTATATAACAAGTTGAGAATGGTCCAAACTGGTGATTGGGTAAGGCTGAGTCATGCAAAGGGAACATCCAAAGACTTAAGAGCAAAACTACCTCATCAAAAAATAAAAAAGCTAAAGAGGACTACAAACATTGATAATTCTTATGTAGGCCCCATTATTTATTAACTAGGTCATTATCAAGGAGGGTTAGATTCCTTTGATTTTCAATATAAGTATTAATCAAAAATGAGAACAGGCCCTCTGTGACAAGTTTTCCACCTACACGTAACCATATGGTTGTACTTGGGATGGCTCTAATTGCAGGGGCGGACCAGAATTTTTTATATTTGGAGGGAGCCCAAGTGCCCAACTAGTGTATAAAAGTATTTTAAAATATATATAATTAACTTAATAATATATTAATCGCATTCTTTACCCAAGTCTTCTACATCTTTAATTCTTTATATAGGAGTCTCCTATATCATTTTAATATTCATTTCAAGACTAAAATAACAGAATTATATTTCTCTAAGGTACTTCAACGGTAAATTTTAAAAATAAAATTCAGACCTGATATGGATTTTAAAAAATATATATTATATTATTTTTCTAATTAAATCATCTCATTTTTCTAAAAAATAATTATTATTATAAAATCATTTTGTTGTGCTTTGACCTGGTCAAGACACCTTAGTGAAGTGTCCTTGCTTTGTAAGTCGAGGCTTTTCCAAAAGAATCATTGTGCATTTTTCAAAATAATTTTTCGTATGTTATTATAGCACCCCCAAAAACAAAAAAAAAAAACGACCAGACATTAATAGAAATAGTACAGCTTTTGTATGCATTTGTAATGTGAATGGATCAAATTGGCCCTCCCACATCTGAAATCAGATTAAAACAAAGAAGAAAGGGAAGAGCTGGGGCCAGCAGGTTGACTCCAACACCAGCACCAATTCCAAGCCGTTGCATTGCCTTCATCACCAAGTATTTGTATTAAAAACTCTTTTGAATATATATATATATATATATATCATCAAATTTTTTGTTTATTTTACAGATATATATATATATATATATATATATATATATAGAGGATAACAAAACAACCAACCCACCCCAAGCAACACAGAGTATAAGCTAGAGAAGATCAAGAAACAAATGGCTAACGCCAAAAACGACGCCGTCTCTCACGATCTCCTCTCTCTTCTCTCCCCAGAAGAAAGGGACTTCCTTATCCGCAACAATGGTGACCAGGTACAACGTTAATTGTTTTACTTACCATGTGTTTTTTTTTTTTTCCCCCTTCTTGTAATCTCCAATCTATGATCTTTCATGGGTAATAATAAACTGCTGCATTTCATCATCTTTAGATGCTTTTCTTTTCTTGGTTTTTCTCAGTTTCCCCAATCTCTTAAATTGAAATTTCTCAATTTTTCATGTTAATTAAACTGATTCTACTTTTTATGATCTTTTTTCATGCTTTTCTTTGTTTTACCTATACTTATATTGGTAGCTAAAAAAGTGCTTTGATATCAAAATTTTCATGTGAAATAAACTGATTCTACTTTTTATGATCTGTTTTCATGCTTTTCTTTGCTTTACATATACTTATATTAGTAGCTAAAAAAGTGCTTTGATGTCAAATCAGTACAGACAATTGAGAAGAGAAGAGAAGAGAATAAGAACTTGGGGGAAAGAAAAATTGTCTCTCAATATTCTCATAAAAATTTACCGCTTGAATTTCTCGAGCCCTATACATATATAGGCATCTAAAATGATATCCTAATCAAACACTAATACAAAAATTAACAAGTCTTATAAATTAGGAAAATCACTTTAAAAAATTAAAAAAATTGGTTATATAAATATTCACACACACCACCAAATGTCCACTATGGGTTCAATCCCTCACCGCTCCTTTGAGGAAGAAGAGGTTATACCAGTTAAAAATTACCAAGTGGTCGGAAGGAAAATCTCAATAATTATAACCTGAAAATAACTTCTAATATTCTCTTTCTTAAAATATATAGGAAAACTCTAAAATTTGTCTTTCCTTGCCCCATATCCAAGAATTAGTGACACTCATGTGCGGCTCATGCGTGCGAATCATGGTTTGATGCAAATCTGAAAAAAGTCGATACATGTAAATTAAAGGGAGCTAATAGTCACACTAAAATTATAAGCTTCCTGCACTTCATCTCCTTTGTGATTTGAATTAATGGAAGAGTGGAGTGCGAATATTATTTCCAAATTTAAGCTGTGGGTAAGTAGTGCTATATCAATTATACGATCTGTCAAAAAGAAAAATTATATGGTCTATTAAATGGTTCTTGATTTGGAATTTACAGGCTAAAATCAGTAATTTGGTTGGAAAGATAGTAGGATTATATTTCTCTGGTTCATGGTGTGGTCCATGTCGCCATTTTACCCCAACTTTGGTGGAAGTCTATGAAGAACTCTCAACTAAAGGTGATTTTGAAGTCGTCTTCATTTCGTCTGATAAAGATGATGAATCGTTTAATGGCTACTTTGCCAAAATGCCCTGGCTTGCCATTCCATTTTCTGATTCTGAGACACGTAAACGCATCAAAGAGTCGTTTAAAGTTAGGGGGATCCCTTATCTTGTTATCCTTGATGGCACTGGTAAGGTTTCATCCGAACAAGGGGTTAGAGTTGTTAGAGACTATGGTGCTGAGGCGTATCCATTTACGCGCGAAAGAATCAACATCTTGAAAGAGGAAGAAGAGGCCGCGAAGAGGGAACAATCCTTGAGGTCTATCTTGGTTTCTAGCTCCCGCGATTTTGTGATTTCAAATGATGGTAATAAGGTAATGTTTTTGTTCATTTATTGCTAACTCTGCCCTAGGCCTAGTTTTCGTGGTATGTCCAATATGTCCAATGGCATTGTCAATGATCTTCACAATGTTTATTATCAGATTCCTGTACCGGAGCTTGAAGGAAAGACGGTTGGCCTGTATTTCTCCAGGAGTACTCATGGAGGATGCCTTGAATTTACCACGAAACTCGTGGAGGTTTACAAGAAACTCAAGGAGAAAGGAGAGAACTTTGAAGTTGTGTTAGTATCTCTAGATGATGAAGATGAAGAGTTCAAACAAGAATTTGGAAAGATGCCATGGTTAGCCTTGCCTCTCAAGGACAAGAGCTGCGAAAAGCTTGTCCGATACTTTGAGCTTAGAGCGCTTCCTACACTTGTTGTAATCGGTCCAGATGGGAAGACTCTGCACTCCAATGTGGCTGAACTTATTGAAGAACACGGTGTTGAAGCCTACCCTTTTACTCCGGAGAAGCTTGTTGAGCTCGCTGAGATAGAGAAGGCAAAACTTGAATCACAAACTCTAGAATCAATTTTGGTCTCTGAGGATTGTGATTTTGTGATCGGAAAAGGTGGTTCCGAGGTATAATTTCTAACTTTTCATTCGAGAAATCAAGGGTCTTTTGAAAATTGTTTTTGAAATCATAGTTTAAAATTTTTTTAAACTATGGAAGACTAGTTTTTAGTTCTCTAGAAACTGTTTTTTTTTTTTTTTCTATAACCCTGAAATCAAGCAAGCTCCAAATGTTCATAAATGTGTATATTGTCAATTACAGAATTGATGTCAGTGATGGATCTTTGTTGATCATATCTGTGGTTTATTCTTCGTTAGGTCCCTGTATCTGAACTTGTAGGAAAGAACATCCTCCTCTATTTCTCAGCACATTGGTGTCCTCCATGCCGTACTTTTCTACCTACACTTATTGCAGCCTACCACGAGATTAAGGCAAAAGATGATGCATTTGAAGTTATTTTCATCTCAAGTGATCGCGATCAATCTGCCTTTGATGACTTCTTTTCAGGCATGCCATGGCTGGCTCTCCCTTTTGGTGATAAGAGGAAGGCGTTCCTCCAGCGCAGGTTCAAAATCAGAGGAATTCCTGCTGCCATAGCCATTGGATCTAGTGGCCTGACAGTCACTACACAAGCCAGGCAGCTCTTGCAATCTCATGGCGCAGATGCCTATCCCTTCACCGACAATCATATCAAGATATTGGAGGAAAGGATTGATGAAATCGCAAAGGGGTGGCCTGAGAAGGTGAAAGACGAGCGCCATGTGAAGCATGAGCTCACACGTACACGTAGGAGTGGTTATATCTGTAATGGATGTAGGGAGTCGGGACATGGTTGGTCCTTTTATTGTAAGGAATGTGACTTTGATCTCCATCCCAAGTGTGCTCTAAAGGATGATCAGAAGATTCAGAAGGAGAATTGTGAAGGGGGTACTGCAAAAGCGGAGGAGGGATGGACCTGTGAAGGCGGTGTGCGCCGTAAAGCATGAGGAAGCCATATCTAGCATTTGCACATGAATCACGGAGCTTACTTTAACAGTTTGTGATGCTCTATTTAAGGGGTCTTTGTAGATTGTGTGAAGATGTGTGTGCGCGCGTGTGAAGATGTGTTTGGGAAGTGAATAAAAGTGTGAGACATGGTTGGATCAATGACATGATCTATAAGTACTAGTTGTTCAATGAAACTTGAACTCTTGTCTTAATGTTTGATTGGTTAATGTTCTTGATCTGTATTCTGTACCTAGAGCTAGAGGAATGTGGAGTTTTGGTTAGCTCATATTTAGCATAACTATCATGTTTAGTCTTAATGGGTTATATTCTGCAGATTAAAACAACAACTTGTTTATGATTCTGCATTTTGTTTTCCACCGTTGCAATGTTTCTCCACTAGGGTAAATTACACGGACCTCCTCTATTGTTTGCCATAATTATAGGGACCTTTCTTATAGTTTGAAAAATTACTCGAACCTCCCTAAAAATGAAACTAACCTACACAGACCTCCCTTCCTGGTGATGGACCGTCAAATGTATTAACAGATTTATCTAATTTACTGAAATGTCCTAAAGTTTTTATGATAAATGACTGTAATACCCATCTGTATGTGTGAGAGAGGAGATGGACGAAGGGTAAAATGAGAATTCTAATTTATTCAGTACATAACATCAGCAAAATTCGTCATTGACTTGCGTTGTCTGTAACAGAAGGGAGATCTATATACGTCAGTTTCATTTTTAGGAGTAGTCCGAGTAATTTTTCAAACCATAGGAAAGGTGCCTATAATTATGGCATACTATAGGGATGTCCGTGTAATTTACCCAAGTTAATAATATAGAGTAAAGAACAGTCCATTACACTTGCCCAATAAAATGATACTTCAGCTTGAATAGGTCAGGGTCAACTCAATTAAAGGTTGATTTTGAGTTTGTTTACTAAGAAAACTAGCTGAGCTCGAGCTTATTTTTTATAAACTCGTTTAATAAATCACACCAAGCCCAAACAACTAAGGCTTGTTTCATGCTTGTGATGAGATTATAAAGCTTAGTCGAGTTAGCTCGGCTCATCTCATCTCACCTCAAGGTGAGCTCTAAATCTTTCAATTAATTTGAAATGTAATTTTTACTAGACAACTCCAAATTTTCAGTTAATTTGGTTTTCATATGATGTAAAATGTAATGTCCCGGATTTTTCTGAATTTTTCAATAATTTTATTTTATTTATTTTTTGTATTTTGTTTTGCGTGCCACATGGGCCCTGAGGGTCGCTAGGACATTTTTATGAGCTCGGGAGTTTTGGGATTTCATTTTAAGCATGTTAGAATTGACGGGATCAATTTTAAAAATTTTCAGAGTCGGGACGACTTTCGTGTTCGGGAATTTCTCCCAGTTTCTCCATATATTGTTTATAATGATCTCTTTTGTATTTATTTTTGTAAAGGCATTTCTTTTGCACAATTAATTACATGTAAAATGACCGTATTCTTTTGTCGACTCCTTATGCAGTCGTTGTATTTTGACCATAAAGGGCTTGAATTGTAATCTTATTCTTTTGGACATATATGTATATTTTACGGTGATTTTGATTCACAAAGGATGTATGAATGGTTATATTTTGAAGATTCAATTAAATGTGTTAAGGTTGATAATGTTCATGGAGCTTTATTTCATGTTTAGTTGCTTTGGATTGCATTTGAATAGGTTTGGGAAGTTAACCTTTCGACCAATTCACCATGGGGCATTATCTAACCGATTAGATAGTGGTGTCTACCCGGTTAGATGAGAGGGACAGTATATGGGTTTGATGGGTTTCTCCCATCTAACTGGTTAGATGGGAATATCTAACCGGTTAGAGGGCCTTCTACTCAGTTAGATACTCTTATCTACCCAATTAGTTGCATGGTTGTGTGTTGTAGAACCAAAGTGCACAAAGTGTGATGACGTGTGGTTGCACAAAGTGTGATGACGTGTGGCTAAGTTTAAATTTGTAGAATGCCACTAATACTACTACTACTAATTACTAATGTAGCAAGAGTGAGTAGGGATCATCCCAAGGGAAAGGAATGGTATTTTAGAATCAATTTTGGATTAGTAGGTGGAATGATCAAAAAAGGGGTTTGTTGGTTGAATTATACTACAATTTAAGGTAAAGTAATGCAATGTAAAACAACTAAATAAATGAGGTGTAGAGAATGAAAGAGGGTTCTTGGGACATATAGTTCACCACTAAGCATTGCCTTCCTAGACATTCAATATTTGATGGATTAGGGGGATTATGTGTTGTAAAAGAAAGTGTGTGCCATTAATTGAAATATTAAATATGGATAGCCAAGTAAGAATATATTGTCTAATCAATCTAGTGAATAGCACATTATATCAAATTAAGTCATTAATCCTTCTATAAGCCCACAATTAATGTACACTCAATAAATTAGAGAAATATACAACTTGTATTCATAAGTATGGAACATCAAACAACAAGAATTGATTGTCCACCTATTTAGGAAATTAAAGCAATTACACTACAACTATACTAATGACATGAAAAGCAAACTAATTAAACTAAGGAGGTGGCACAATCTATCAAGAAATAAGTATGAACCATTAAATAAACCACAAGAGTAATCCATTTAAGCATCATGCATTGACCATCACTAGATTCATAATATCAACACACATAGACATGCATCAATGTCACAAAATATTGAGAAAATTACATGAACATTCATCCTAGCATACATAGACATATGGATAGAATTAAATGATCAATTGAAAGCATTACACTACACAAATTATGTAGAAACAATATTTATATATATAAGAAGTCAAAACAAGAATTACAACATAAATCCCCATTAATTACAAAACATCAAAGTCTATGAGGCATGCTTAGGGCTATCTCTAGCCCCAAGAGAATGGTTTAGCCACTCATTGATGTTGTCATCCAACCCTTAAGTGCAACGACCCGGTCATTTGCCTTTCTTTCCTTTTTCCTGAAATTTTACGAATGAATTTTTTTTCGTTTAATTTTCTTTTCTGAGCTCTGTTTCGTGTCGCTTAGTGTCATCTCGAGTGCTCAGAATTGGTTTCTGAGACTCTTTCATGTGAATTGACAACTTTCTTTGAGGACCGAGTTATTTTCGCATTTTTCGTTTTTCGGATACTATGCGTTATTCCGTCTTTTCCCTATTCTGTCATTTTCCCTATTTTGTCTTATCTCCGTTTGTCAGTTTTTGGCACAACCTCACTTCTCATGCTCGGAGTTGGTTTTTGACTTCACGTGCCTTCATCTTGAGTGGTTTTCTCGAAATACGTATCTTTACTTTTGCAAGAAAGTACTCTGTTTGCTCCCGGTGTCCACAGTGGCATAGATGCACAATTCTTCATAATCTTTTTCATTTCTTGGGGTGTTTTTCGTAAATATCTTTTGAAGATATTTTATTTCAGGGGGCATCTAAGAAAATATCTTTTGGAAGATATTTTCACTATGGGGCAATTTCGCAGTTAACCCTTTTTGTAGGGGCCATTGTGCAATTAACAAAAGTTATTACAAAAATGTCTCGTCTGGACCCTGAATCCTCGTACGGGATTCATTTTCACTTTTCGTTGACTCGTAAATTCATAGAATTTCCTTCTGGTCATTTTTCTCCAGTTACAGAGTTGTTGGGCCCGGTTGCCGCCGAACTTGTTCGGGGCATAACTTTCTGTTCGGGACTCAGTTTTCAACGCCGTTTCTTCCGTTATTCAAATTTTCTCATTTTAAATCTTTTTTGTTCACAGAGTTTTTCCGTTTGAGCGCATTTGCTCAAAATCCACTTTTCTGGACCTGGCGGGGCCCTTTCGGGGCAGTTTTTGAGACTTACTATAAATAGAACACTTAAAGAAGAAAAATCAGATTTTGGTCATCTTCCCCACCTCTCTTGGCCGGATCTCCTAGCAGCCATGGCTGCCACTTTCTCTCTCCTCCTTTGATCCATTTTTCTTTGATGAAAATCCTTCGGCCTTTACATTTGTTGTTCCCCTCGACGTGTTCCACCATTACCCCTTATTAGAAACCATTTCTGTCCAAATTTTGAGTTCGGGATTGAGGTCAAGTTTGGATTTTCATGGGGCTTCTTGGGGATTCATATAGATCGTGTTGTCCCTGATAAAACCTAGGAGTTTCGTCGGATTCAGAGCCGTTTCAATTCGGTGGGGATTTGGGATTTTCATCTCAAATTGAGGTAGGAGGTGTTATAGGTTTAATTCTTGTTATATAACATGCTATTGATGCTTATACAACTTGATTGCATGCTTAAATATGAAATATAGAGATTTTATTATTTAATTTTCTTGTATTGGATTTGATTTTCCCGGTTGCTTATGATTTGTTTTAAACATGTAGTATGGTAATATAATACTCTATAATATGGTCATTGACATATATTAAATTGAGGAAAATTGAACAAGTAATAAAGATTTTATTTAATATTTATCTTAAATAAAATATTAAATCATGTGGCCTTAACTAACTCAAAATCAATATGTGTTAGCATATTAAATTAGGCCTTAGCATGCTTTCCAACATAGTTGAATTTGAAAGTAATTGGAGGTGTTTGAAAATTAGTAATTATTAATTAATTTAATTAATTAATTTGCCCCGAGTGCACTATTCACTCTATTTGAATTCTGACTTGATATTCTTGATTTACATGCCATATAGCTTCACATATATTTGATTTAGAATATTCGGTTAGGTTTTGAAACCTTTTATTTAATTAAATTCCATGTTTAAGATTTAATCCTCATGGTGATATACAACTTGAATTGTATTGTGGCATGCTAGAAAATTAAGCTTAGGTATAGTTGTTCACATATATTAAATTGGGATTAATTGCATGAGAATTGCAACTTTTAATTTATATTTAACTTTAGTGAAAGTTTAATTCACATGGTCTTAAATTGAATGAAATAAACTTGTAATGTGATATTACATTAGTTCTTGGCATGTTTTCCAACATAGGTTAATTTGAGAGCATTTGGTTAAGTTTGAAAATCAAGAGATTTTAATTAAAAGAATTAATTAAAATCTATTTTGTGATCCCATTAGCTTAATTAAGGTTTTAACTTGATATTTGTATTGGCCATGACTTGTTTACTAGTATATATTAATTTAGGACTATTTGAAATTGTTTTAAAACCTTGGGATATAAATTAGCATGATTTAATTACCTTGTTGTTGTATTTAAACTCA